TGAGAAGGAAGAAGTGGAATAAATTGATACTGAAGACTTAAAATAAGCTCCAAGAAGCAAACCTCTTAACATACTGGTGTGTAATATAACCAGTTTAATGCTGACAAGTCCATAAAAATTCCTTTTTTTTCTTTTTCCTTTTTTAAAAAATAAAATCAACTTTATGATTACATTTCATTTTAGCAGGGAGTTTTACGGTTTGTGAAATGCCTCAGAGCAGATGTGAGTCATAGTGTTTTTTTATGCATAGTTTGCAACCACTTTATTTCATCACTTCAGCAACTGAAATAGCAATGAATGACAGCTTGCACCAGGAGGACATGTTAGTGATATCTATCTGTCTTTCTTCCATTCTAAACTCAGTACTCATAATATTTTAATATTTTTCTTTTGTATCTGCATAGAATTGGTGTTTGAAGAGGTGAACAGCGTCAAAGCTTCTGGCGGCAAGACGGATAGCCTCCAGGCGGAGCAGTAAACCTCTCTCACTCTAGCTGAACCTTTTCCTAAAGAAGGACCATGTACTCAATAAGTGGGAGAAGGACCGTGGAAAGACAACTTAAGAAAACTCTGCACTGTGTTTGATCGCCTGCCATGAGTTCATTGGAGGAGCGGGGCAGGATGGTCTTCAAAAAAAAAAATCCAACGCACACATCACTATTACAGGGAGGTTGAAGTATCTGATAGAAGGCGCTTTCCAGTCCCCGACAGTTGCTTCCTCTTATGTTTCCGCACAAATGAGGAACTTTTCATCTTGGCTACGTCAGGGATCACAGATATGACGACTCATGCGAGGCAGCAACTTCTCAGAACGTAACTGTGTTTACAGACTGAAAGAAGGGTATCACATAAAGGGGAAAAAAAGGCACACTAGGATTTCCAAAGCAAGACAGACCGCTATCTGGTCCCTCATCATGACTAAGTCACTGCTTTCATATATGGAGTTAATGTCCTAAGGCTTGCAGCAATGCCACATCATATCCCAGAACACCTAAGCCTGCATAATACTGCATGATTTCTTTGCATTTAATCACGACATGATATTACAGATGCTGTATTATAACCATAAAGACTGCTTATTGTATCTGCCCCTCTGGTGTCAAACAAGCCTGTGTGACCAACTTTCAATCTATTTTATCTTTTACAATTTCCGCAGACTTAAAAAATAATGACACACGAGCAAACAGAAACTATTGTTCTCCCTGCTATAAAAGTCATCCTCTCCTTCTCACAGAACAGGAAACACCAACTGTGCTGTTAATTAGCAAAGTAATGAATATTATGCCAAAGCTGGAACAGAGTGGCTTGTGCTGCAGGTCTGTGTTTACAGAGTGACCACGCTCATAATTTTTCACTGATGGCTGATTTCTGATCACCTGTCTTGTTTGCAGAGCTGTATCTGGTTTCCATTACTCTCTGAGACGCGTTTTGCAGGCCCTGTTATTGTTTACAATAAGTAAGATTACAGGCATTTTGTAATTTGATAGATACAGTTCTCAGCATGTGTGTACATTGCTGGATAATCGTTTATTTCCCAACTGTTATGTAAGCAATGACTGGTTGAACACATTCCAGGCTGTTGAGTACCATAGCAGCCAGGTCACTCCCTGGTTGCGACAATTACTCTACAGCTTCTTTTTAGTTTGGATTTTTTTTTTTTAATGATCCTTGCGCATACCCATAAGCATAGGAGATATTCTGGACTTGGCCTTGACTGTGGATTTTTCTGTAATAGTCCAATTTAATAGCCAAATGCAACATTATAATACCCATTATCAAATTAAGGAATGTCGTCACAGGTGTCATTGTAGAAGTAGCACAAGACCAACGCCTACGCATATCATTGCGACAAACGGTTAACTTCCTCACCGACATTTTGTCGTTCGTTTTACTGCAGGGTGAAGTTTTAGTTCTGCAAACGTTTTGCTGAGGCAGAAATAATTCGCTTGTTTTTTAACTGCAGTGTGCAAAGTCAAATAACCACTAGATGTCACGCTTAAAATACTGAAGGTCATTGAAAATGTCAAGAGATAAAAGAGGATCAAGCTGTGTTTTGTGAAGTAACTAAAATACTCTGCTACTTAATGGAAAATGTGTCTAGCATTAAAGGTCACATATTATACTCCTTTTCAACAAGTTTTAAATAAGTCTCAGAGCTCTCCAAAACATGTCTGGGAAGTTGTTTTCCAAAAATCCACTCTGACCCTGTATATTAGCATGTCTATAAACCCCTCTATTTCAGCCCTGCTCAGAACAGGCTGTTTCAGTGTCTGTACCTTTAAATGTAAATGAGCTGTGTCTGACCACGCCCCTCTCTGGAAAGCCTTGGGTGGCTCAGGCTTTCTCGCTCCATTTCCTATCGTTTACAATGAGAAGGCAGACTCAGAGGGCAGAACAAACACCTAGCTGTGGGAGTGTCCCCCACCTGGGGAGGGGTTACTGCGCTTTGTGATGTCATAAAGGGAAAATCTCCAAACGGCCTGTTTGAGCACACATTTTCTGAAAAGTGGAGCAAGTAAAAGACGGAGAGGATGGACTTTTCTCATAACTGGGGGGTTTGTAGACAGACTAGGGACACATATTAGTGTTCAAAAAACATGGTAAAGTGTATTATGCATAATATGTGACCTTTAATTAATGCATCTTTGGTATTAGGATAATGCCGTCAAAATTTTACCAAATGAATGTGAAAAGAAACCATCAAACTAAATATTGTATATCTCTCTTAATTCGGTACAAAATACTAGCAACATCAGAATGAGGGATATAGTAAATAGCGGACTTTTTGTTAAGCTTAAGAGTTCAAAAGTAGTGGCAGTGATTGGTTCATGACATAAACATGTAAAAGTGTGGTGGCTTTCTTCTCCTCATGTTTACTAATGGTTGTCAAACCAGCTTAGTCCACCAAATGGACTTGGGTTGAACAAAGAGAGTCCGTTTAGAGCTGTCTGTTGTACAGGTTGGGCTTGACTTTCTTGTTACAAAGAGCAGTTGAAAATAATCAGGTTAATCAGGTTAAACACTTATAATACTAAACTGCGTTATAGAGTATGGATGGTTGATACTCAAGCTAATGTGAAGGGTGATGCTGATATGCGATCTCGAAACAAAGGGGGTAATTAAGGGAAATTAGAAGACACTAGACTGTGCTCTGGGAGAAACCAAACTTGTGAATCGCTTTTTTTGTACTTTCTTACTTATAAACATAATTTATATACTTCAAGATACAATAATGGCAGGTGTACAGTGGTTAGCTTACCAGACTTAATGCTAAGTAGCACTAAGTTTTGTTAGCTTAAAATCTACAGGCAAGTGCTGTTGTGAGCCTAGCTTGCTAACTTGCAAGTAAAATTGGTCTATTGCATCACCACCTCACTTTAAATTCAACCAATGAGATTATTTTTGCCTCAAGTAAACATTAGTGATACTAAAAAATCAAAAACACCAGAAAGGAAACTTACTTGAGCTATTTTTCCCCCTCAAATGGTTAACACTGGTGTTCTTCATGTAGCCTATAGTACAAGTCGTCCATTAACACAGAATGCAAAATGTTCAAACTACAATTCAAATGGATCCAAGCTGTCTGTCTAGTCAATGGGTGTTCAAGCTCTAAATGTTAGTGTAATATGCTTATGTGGATGTTGTATATGTGGTTGACTTGAATAGCAAACTGCAAATCGAATGTATATGTTTACTGTATGTATGTTACAAGTAAGAAGTGTCTTTCGACTACCTGGTGGCATGTGATTCATCAGTAGCCATGAGTTTCAAATCACTAAAGTGAATGTCAGCTCTTAGTTTTCAAAGGATCATGATGATTTTCTCATTCAACATTAACGGGTGACATGACTTAGCAAGTCTTGGCTTCAACTGAATAAAAAACATAATTTCTGTTTGTCATTTTGGCTCTTGTATTATTATCCCTACAAAATTAGTACATTTTAGCCTCCTTGCTCTGATTATTTGACATCGTTTTTTACATTTTCCACAGCTGCTGTTCCCAGGGGTGTGTCAAGACTTTTTTTTCCACAGGGCTGGTCCAACTGGGGCAATGACCTATGCAGGGGAAGCATGAAGTTTGAACGAATAGCCTATTTATTCACTCTGTCTGTCTCATCATATCTACTTCAACTACTACAGTTTAAATATCTAAATGATGTTAAGTTACTGTGTATATATTTGTTTATGTCAGAAAGTAACCAAACATAGTGGCACCATATACACATCTTCTTGATTAAATTCTTTGGGCACCCAAAAAGAAGATGGGTTTCCAAAGTCACAATTTAAAGTATTAACAAAAGAAAATGTGCCACATTGAAATGCTAAGAAAGCTACAAACAGCCTACAGTTGAAAGACAGCCCTAATAGTTGATTTTAATATAAGTCTGAAAAAGCAAAGAGTTAATCATAGTTTTGGATTTTGGGGTACTGCAGAGCTTTCAGATTTCGAGGCTGGACCATGTCAACCCGTCTGGACAAGCCCCTTCCTGATCTGTCTTTATAAATCATACAAACTATAAGATTGTACGGAAGCCCTAAGCAGACACACGCCCATATATTTTATTCTACTTCCTTTTAATTTGATAACGAGTACAGTTTTGGTTGTTTTCTCTAGATTTCTACCTTTTTTTAATCTTGTGTTATGGATATCAATAGCCCTTTTCAGACTGCTTTTTTTGTGTGCAAAAGTTGCGTCTTAATCTCAGCCTTCATCACGTCTTTCCACATTTACTCCACTAAGGCGTTGCAGAAGCACGGCAAAGCAGGAGCTCTACATAAACGCACAGTCAGACATGCACACACACACATCGCTGCGCTGCCCCACTGGCTCTGCTGACACCGTCTCGCCTCTGGTACTTCCTCTGATGACGGTACAGAGAGGGGATCACTTCATCTCCTCCATTACGCCTCTGCAACATTCAGATTGAAGGTGAAACGTCACAGGGGAAAACATATCCCGTCTTGAACCAGCAGTCTGATAACAGGTTAGATTTCTAGATCTTGTGAAAACCATTGAAATGAACTTATCACAGGAAAATGGAGTAAAATCAAATGTATGGATGTACATGTCCTCATGGGACTTCCGTAGGATTATATGGAAAATAACTTAATATACAGCAAGCCTATAGAAGAGTAGCCCAATGTAAACTAGTAGTTTTGAAAATCTGAAACATACATTTATTGAAGCAACATGAAATCCCACCAGAAATACAAGAACTAATGTTTAGTCTACATACTGAAAAATTATCAGATAAATAATTATTACAAAAGTCATTCATTAGTTTGAAAAAAATCTTAAATATAAAGTGAAGTGTTTTTTGTTGTTGTTTTTTTTGTTACTAATTTCTAGTGGTCATCAATGTTTAGTTAACTTGATATAGGCAAACACCTTTCAGGTACATTTTAAAATGAATAATGTTATAGGGGTACAAGCGCAGGGTGTTGGCAGATGTTTTGTGGCCTTTTCTCCAACATTGTAGACACACCCATAGACTGCCCTGGGCGACCAGAAGGCATGACTAACAATGTGTGTGTGTGTTGGGGGTGTAACTGGCGACCCTGCAGAGTAGGCTACTCGAGACGTCCGCTGGTCCCAGAGGAGGAATTTGAGTTTCACCAAACTTTTCACTGCGGGAGAAACTAAAGCGACTCTGCAGAAGAAGAAAAAACTCACTTTGTCACATGAAAGGACGAGGAGAGGACCTAACCCGAGTATCGAGCGGACCCCAACATCCTGACCTCAGACTTGTGTAGTCGGTGGGTATGGCTGTGCGGTCAAGGACGGGTTACTACCGTCAGGAGGTAAACAGAACCGCGTGGGAGGTTCCGGAGAGGTACCGGGAGCTGAAACAGGTCGGGACAGGAGCCTATGGGACTGTGTGGTAAGTCAAGAGGAAAGAATCCGCCACAGCTCTAGGAGGAGGTTATTGATCTCATTTTGAAATCAGCTGATTGGGTGGCAGGATTTTTTTATTTTTTTGCTGCGCTATCTTTCACAACCACCACTTCCTGCATGTTAGAGAAAGATTAAACCACACATCACTTGTTTCGCTCTCTCTGCTGCAAACTTCAATGGTAAACAAACAGACAACCTGCGTTTCAATTTGCTCCCATTAAAGGCGCAATGCAAAAGTTGCTCTGTTAAGTGGTTCTTAGAAAGTGACTAAACAAAAAGGGGAGATGTCTTGACAGTAATGAAGCAGTCATAGTTTGTTTTACTCATGTGCATTTTACTGTCATTTCTACTTTCATTTTCCTGCTCTAGCAGCCCTGCCTGTGTGGGATATTGTGGTCCCCAGTGTCCCCACAGCTGGCTCTGCAGGGCCACTTTTTGCATTGTGTTGTTTGGATGAGAGTCAACAAAGAGAACCCCCCCCCCCAATCGCATTGTTCGGAGAAGTCAAAGACCCTGATTTAAGTCCATAGAAAGTGCCACCGCTTTGTCTTTTATCCCAAATAGACCTTCTCTCACTGCAGACATTGTAATGGGCCATAGCAAGTGTAATTAATATCATTAATGAGACACTGTATCATGACAGATGGTGTTATTACACCTGAGGATTTCCTTGTAGACGTGTCATGATAATTGTCCAGCGTACTGGTTTAGTTTGGGATCCAACTAGTTTGTTAAAAAAGTAACTTCAGCATTTTTTTTTTTAAGATTTTAATTTTGGGGTTTTTGTGCCTTTAATGGAGAGATAGGACAGTGGATAGAGTCGCAGATCAGAGAGAGAGAGTGGGGAACGACATGCGGGAAAGGAGCCACAGGTGGGACCTAAAACCGGGCCGCCCGCCTGGAGGACCACAGCCTCCGCACATGGGGCGCCCGCACCAACCACTGCGCCCACCAGCGCCCCCAGCATTTTTAGAAGAATCTATTTCATTATGTTAACACGGTATGTCTTTCTGTTTGTTTCAGTTCAGCATGGGACCGCAGATCAGGCACACAAGTGGCCATCAAGAAACTTCACCGGCCGTTCCAGTCCAAACTTTTTGCCAAAAGGGCTTACAGAGAGCTGCGACTCCTCAAACACATGAAGCATGAAAATGTAAAAAAAAAATATATATATTTATTTAAAAATGTTTAAAATGCATCTTCAGTCTCTTAATGAAAAACATGAATGAAACAAATCCTAAAGAGAAACATTTCACTGTCATGTGGTTTTAATTCTGATGTTCTTTTTCCTTTTTTTCCTCGACCAGGTAATTGGGCTGCTAGATGTTTTCACAGCCGAAATCTCATTAGACCGCTTACGTGATTTGTAAGTTCCCGTCCCTTTCCCGCAGTGTTGATGAGAAACTCAGTCCTCGTTCTTTTTCGAGTGATCTGACTCCTCTTCTCTTGCCCATAGTTACCTGGTGATGCCATTCATGGGCACTGACCTCGGCAAGCTGATGAAGCTGGAGAGACTGACAGAAGACAGAGTACAGTTCCTCGTGTACCAGATGCTCAGAGGACTCAAGGTACACACCACAACCAACGCACGGGGAAAAATTTACAATACATCACAAAGAAAGACTTGTGGTCCATTAGAAAGAAAACGTTCAATACGTTATAGTTAGCTTCCAGTGATTTGTTTCCTGCTCTGAACGGGCTCTGGGTACAACCAGAAAACGCAAATCAGCCATTCCAAGATAGCGCCTAGGCTCATAGGGGATTTAAATTTCAACGATATACCTAGGTCTGGTCAAGTAGGGCTTTAAAATATGTAATGCAATTTTAAAAACAATACGGCAATAGACAGGAAGCCAATGCACGGAGGCCAGGATCTGGGTTCTGTGGTTGTGTTCTCTTCAACCAGTAATAACTCTAAGGATTATGGACCCATTGGAGGCTTTGTATGGAGGGAAGCCTGAGAAATACCCGACAGAGAGCAGTATAAGAATGTAAATGGGATTAATGAATGCAACAACCCTGTGTAGGTCAGTAAAAAAAACAAAGGGATTGTATTTGTAATCTTGTAAATAGCATCAAGAAAGAGTGACATAACATGCTTGTCTCTGTGAGTTGAAGTTGCTGATTCTGTCTGTATCTCCTCTCTCCCCAGTACATCCACTCCGCCGGGATCATCCACAGGGTGCGTGACCTCTGACCTTTCTGACTATGAGCTGTGGGGGCTGGGCACTTGCTCTTTTTTTCACACTAGAGCCCATTCATCCGGATTCCCACACAGGGAGCTTTCTCAATTTCTAGACGGACTGATACGCTGTCGACTAGATTAGAAATGTCCCACACGTCTCTACGTCTTTCTTGGACCTTTAATACCCAGTATTTGATGGAGAGCTGTTGCTGCCAGCAGAGAGAAGATACATGCATGAGTCATGGTCGTACTAAATGACTGGATTCATTTCCTTATTTCAAGCCCTGAAGGAGCAGCAGGGGGGCGTGTCCACACTTTGTAGACTGTGGTGGCCCAACTGGGGCACTAGCTTATGCAAGTTTCTTGTTTTTTTTACTGGCTAATTGAAAATTTCAGGCGACCCCATGTTGGGTAGGAACCCACGTTGGGGTCACCTGAACATATTGCATGCAAGGAGTAACAGGGGCGTTAGTATCTCGCCTTGAAGTGGCCATCTGCTCGCACCAATTGTTCTTAAAATTGAGATTTTATTATGTTAATCCCAAAATCTTAATTTGCTTCCTCATGTCTAGTAGCCATATACCGATATCTGCTTCTTTCTTCATAAGATAAAGAATCACAAACATATTTCCTCTTAGATATCCAATCTCTAACTGTTCTCTTGGTCCCGTTTGCTTTTCATCTCTCACAGGACCTTAAACCAGGAAATTTAGCCATTAACCCCGACTGTGAGCTAAAGGTAACCCATCTTCAAATTAGTCGTTTTTTTATCTGAATCAATCAAACATCTACACCTGCTCTCATCACGCTTCTGTCTTGTGTTTTCTTTTCTCGTTCAGATTCTCGACTTTGGCCTGGCGAGGCAGGCTGACGCAGAGATGACCGGCTATGTTGTGACACGCTGGTACAGAGCGCCCGAGGTTATTCTCAACTGGATGCATTATACACAAACAGGTAAAGTCTCATTCTTCACATCATGTGTGACAAGGAGTTCACAAATAAAACACAAGATGAGACTTGTTACATAAACCCAGATTCATTGAGACAGCTGATGTTTGCCAATCTGTTGCAGTGGATATCTGGTCGGCTGGTTGTATCATGGCGGAGATGCTTCTTGGAAAGCCGCTGTTTAAAGGAAATGATCGTATCCTTTACAACCATTAAGATGTAACTGTCTTATTATGTTTCAGCATCAAGTGCAATGAGTTTACTTTTATTTTGACCCTGTTGTGCATTGCTTAAAATGTAAAATCCTACTGTACCTCTGAAAGGACAAATCGTCTGTAAACGATGCTCATTCTAGCATCAAGCTTACTTTTGAATGATAAAATTTTAGACATGATACTTGACCAACGCTTCTCCAAGACCTCGACCAGCTCAGAGAAATCATGAAGATCACAGGAACCCCAACCCCTGACTTTGTTGTCAAGCTACAGAGTCAAGATGTGAGTTGTACATTTTGACTGTCAAATTCAATGCGAGCATGCTGGAAAGGGAGCAGAGAAGAGAGGAGAAGTGTCTGCAGTGTATATTTATTCTTCCTCTGTTGATGTGTTTGATTGTTGATGTATTTTGGGTTGAATAACATCTTTAGGTGACTCACTCTGCTGTGCTATGCATCATTACAGAAAAAGCCTAAAAACAGCCAACATGTTTTGTTTCTCACCACAATTTTTCTTTTTTTTTTCTTTTTCATCTCTTGAAAAAAAGTTTGGAAAGGTTTTTCCGGTCAGTTATTTTGCCCCTTTTAAGATACTAATTGGTGTTGTGTTATATATCGTTGGAAAGCCTGATTAGTCACCATTACAACGAGGGCGCTACCCACATGTTTAGCTGTGTTGCTCATTGCACAAATGCATGATCCTTGCAAGTTATACCTTGTTGTAAAGGTGTATAATACAACACCAATTAGTATTATTAAAGGGGCAAAAATAATCGACCGAAATAACGTTTCCAAACTTGAGGAGTTTAGTTACTTACTTTAGTTTGTTTTGTATTCTACATTTTATGAGGAATTAACCTCGAAAGAATTTCATGATTTGTGTGTTAGCAGCCTTTTTAGAGTCTTGTGATGGTTGAAAAGAAAACATCATACCGGACTTGACTTTGACTTTGACTTGAATGAAAATCTCTAGGTATGAACACCCCTCTCTTCCCCTCCTCTCTCGACAGGCCAAAAATTACATCAGAGGTCTTGCAAAAGTTCCAAAAAAAGACTTGCACTCGATGTTCTCCAAAGCTAGCCCAAAGGGTACGTAAAGATGTTCAAATTCACCCCCATGTGACGGTTTGCTAAATGCTCTCCTGCTGACGTCGACTCTTGCATGTGCCACACAGCTGTGTGTGTCTTGGAGAAGATGCTGCTTCTGGACCCTGTGCAGAGGTGAGCGCCTCAGAGGCACTCGAGCTGCCTTTCTTCAGTGAGTTCAGAGACACTGAGGAGGAGACTGAGGCGCTGCCGTATGATCAGACCATGGACAACACAGACCTCCCGCTGGACCAGTGGAAACGTAGGCGACACTTTTCTAAGATGTTTACCGTATCAGCTCGACATGGCAAAAACATATTGTTTTCAGCTTCCAGCACTTGTTGCTAAAAAAAAAAATCCATAAATAAGACATCTGGTAAGATAATTTAAAGGCCAGACACATTCTGAGGGACAAGTTAAGCAAAACATGTATTCCTTCTGTAACAGTATTTACTATTTGCTGGAGGATATCACTAAAGACCTGGGATCTTTTTTGAGTATTTAATCTGTTAAAAGGCCATTTACAGTAAATCCTACAGGGAGAGGAATCAGAGTAAAACATATTTTGTAAGAGAAAGATAATAGTGTTGAACTGTGATCTAGATGTAGGACAGAGACATGATTTAGAGTGACATACTGAAGTTATATGATTCTCTTTTCTTGTGTGTCTGCAGGTCACACTTTCACAGAGATACTGACCTTCAGGCCCCCCAGGGACTCCAGAGAGACGTCACTTTAACCACTACACACTCACTCACACATACACACCAGAGCCAAAAACATATCCTCTGTTATTAACTATTCTCGTTTTGTATATGTTTAGAAATAATAGAAATTGTTAGTTTGTTTAAGTTTTTGTTTTCAATAAATGTGATTTTCTCAAATAAGAGCATATGTTGTTATTGTAGTTTGATAGAGTGACACGTTCTAGTCTATAATCCGAGTAAATCATGGCGACTGCTGCGACTTTTACCCAGAGTGCTGGAAGCTTTACGTCTGTTTTGATGACTTAATTCACCTCAGTCACACACATCGTTATCTCTTTATTTGCAGGACACTGAAACAGCCAACTTAAAGGTCTAAACCTCCATTTTTAATTGAAGGTGTTGTGATTAGGGTTGCAAAGGGGTGGAACATTTCCGGTAAATTTCCAGAAGCTTGGGAACTTTGGAAATATTCCAAATCGGAAACTTCACTCTACCAATTAAAAAATTAAGCAAAGTCCCACAAAAGAAAAGTGCATGCAGGGGGCATGGCCTCAATAGCCCTGCAGTAAGCAGTGTGCTGTGTGCATGTATTTGAGGAATAGCACAGATATTCGAATGTACTTGCATGAAATCTGGTTGTTTTAGTCAAGATTATGCTAAAATATATTTTACCCAACTATATTTAAGTTCCCTGTTAAGGGCCAACCTTCAATTTAGTAAATTCACGGTTTATTCCCGTTTACTCCCATAAATTCCCATTAATCCCCATGGAAAGTTCCCAACTTTTGCAACCCTAATTGTGATGCCATGTCTGATTTTCTTGTGTACATAATATTTTGTTTTACATGGACACCGCCTGTGACATTTCCCTCTTTTGGTCGGTCTCCAAAGCATTACATCATCCTACAATCTCCAAAAAGCTTCCTGAAAATACTCAAGGCTGAACTCAGATAACTGAGCACTGGAGCTTTTTAATCCTGCCTTTCTATCAACTACCATCAAATATGAGAAACTGACAAACGATCCATTAAAAAATGGGAATCTGTTGTGATATTTTACTACAATGAGGGTCAAAGGCAGACATGTTTTTCACGCTGATGTTGACTAACTGACTGTCGCGCCAGTCGTTTTTTTCCTAGTGTCTGCGCAATTCAGAGATTTATGAGAGAAGGGATTATTCCTACATAGCCACAGAAACCGGAAGACCCGAAAATCTCAGTGGACATTTTCTTTGCAGCTTGTGCTGAATGCTGCTGTACTGATTTTAGCCCATGTGAGGAGTTTTTAGCTGGCTATGAAACAGACTGAAAATAATACTGATGTGTCTCTTTTATGGCTGACTCGATACAGTCAAATGTGTTAAAGTGCTAACATTAGCATGCTAACACAACAACGCAGGACACAGGCAATAGCAGAACGAGCAAAGGAGAATGTAGACCGCCGCTTGTGCTTGATGTTGCTGTTCCTAACCCTAATTATGGAGCCTTCTAATTGATAACTCCTTCATGAGAACGCGAGAGGAGAGGGGTTGGAGGTGTGTCTCTGGAGGAGAGCGGAGGCTTCAGGATGGAGGAGGTGTGGCCAAACAGCAGTTTGTTTTGGTTAAGTGCTGGTGCTCAAGGGTGACATCTACTGGATCAAAAAGTTGTTGGGCTTCTTTAAATTATGAGCTGTTGCACAATGAACAGGATTTTACTCAAAAGGCATCAATTTTAAACACCTTTAAAACCTAAATAGGATTTACAATCTACCATTTCTGTCTTCCAAATTGTATTGAACAGAGTCATGATGACATAAAGAGAATAAGGCCATAAGAAAGCAGTCCAGGGTATAATGAAAAAGAATGAACGTTTATTTAGAATAGAACTACTTTGGTTACTTTTTTCAAAACAATGCAGCGATGTGTGTTCACATTTAGAGTCTTTAGACCTTGCAGACCTGCCGTCAGTCCAAGCGTCACACACCATACTTCTTCTGTAAGGCTGTGATGGACGAAGCTTCCAGCTCGCTTTGGTGAAGGAAGTCGAACACTTCTTTTAGCGCTGGGGGAAGAAAAGTTGTAGAACATTTAATATATATCTATATATCTATATATAAATATACCTAAAAGTGATCCGTAAGAGACTCAACCTTTCTTCTCGGGGGAGGACATGAACATGACGGCCATGTCGAAGCGTCTCACACTCGCTAAACTCCTGAGGATCTCCAGTGTGACGGCTGGTGCCTCGTTCCTGCACAAAACTGATGTTAAAGCACAAAAAAACAACACGACGCAAAACTGAAGAGAAAATCTTTTTTTTTTTTTTTTTAAACTCACTTTATATAGAAACCTTGCAGCGTGCTCAGGATCTCATTGAGAATGTCAGGCTCAAGGGAGTTTTGGAAAATGTTGACGTATGCCTCTGGCTTGATTTGCTTGCGAGACAAGAACAGAAACAAAAGAAAAAGATGATCTTGTTGCTGTTTTAGAGGTGTGCAAACATTCAGATTTCTCATCTTCAGACACACCGCTCACCCTCAGGTATCTATAGACCGCTTCAGGTTGGTTTCCGACCTTTCGGAGGTCGGCCTCCAGCTGGAAGCTGTTGGTGGGAGGCGGAGGAACGACTGCTTCTGCTGGGGAGGGCTTTGTTGACGCTTCAGGAGGAGGAACAACTACATCCTGTGCAGCCTGTTTGGTGTGTCTGCTCGGTGGAACTCTGGGATACAGATTCCAGACAAAGGGAATAATAATTAGACAAATACAACAATAAACAATATCATGAAATAGAAAAAAAGTCATGCCACTTACTGCTGTGATGATTGTGAAGGGAATTCTGCCATCTCCTCGATTTTGATCATTTTGGCACTGGGTGATGAGGACAGTGAAGAGGATTCATCCTCGGCCTCCGTCACCACCTCTTGCACAGTACACTCGGATTCACTGGGCAGCATCTCATGCACCGACACCATTCCACTCACTTCCTCAATATCGATCCTCCTCAGCGGTTTCTGAAGAAAAGAAGAGATTTGTTGTCTCTCAGAAATGAGGCTGTTGTTGTGTTCTTCATTTTATTTAAATACATAAAATATGCTTTCCAATAAACACACCAAATAAAAATACACACTTTCAAACTACATTTATGTCTATGCTGCCACCTGCTGGACAAATAAAGAGAAGCATGTTGTGAACATAAGGAGCCACACTATCTACTTTTCACAAGTTCAAAAGACAAAGTCTCTTCCCACATTCTTCTTAAAGTCATGTATTTTTTCATTATTTATTTTGTGCTTAAGCCAATAAAATACAATATTGCATCTACCTACAGGCAAAAACAATGTATTTAGGTTGCTTATTTTCTCTCACAAACATTACCCACAGAATTTAATTATGTTATGTAAAATGAAAAAAAGCCAAATAGATGTTTCTATATGGTTCAAAACATTGGTGCAATATGTCTCCCTAGAGTCGATGCACACGTGGTTGCCATGTGGTGTACACTGAAGCTTCAGTGTTTAGCCAGCTCTGCATCTGTCTTGAAACGTTTCTGCGTTCTAAGCTCTCTATTTTTCGAAAGCATCTCTCCAAACGGCCCTGTGTGTGGGTGCCTTAAACCCGCCTCCCTTTTCTGGTCAAAACAAATACAGACCATTCCGGACGGGAATCTAAACTTAGGAGGAGGACATACTGACTGCTGCATTGTTTTTTTTTAAAGATAATTTTTGGGCCTTTTTGCCTTTATTAGACAGGACATCTGAAGAGAGACAGGAAGTGTTGGCAGGAGAGAGTGGGGGGATGACATGCAGCAAAGGGATGAGGTCAGATTTGAACCTATGGCTGCTGCGCTGAGGCCTCCATACATTGGGCGCGGCCACCAGCTGCTGCACTGTTGTCAGAGAGAGAAGCCAGCACTTCAACAGAGCAAGTTTAAGACTCCTTAAAGTCTGATGATAGAGTAAGGTAATTTTATGATTTAATTCAGTGGATATCTTACACATGGCTCCTTTAAGAAAAATGAAGCTGAGTAATAGACTGTAAATATTGTTAAAGATTGACCTCCTTTGTTTTATGTGTTAAAACAGTATTTTAGGTCAAAAGAACACTTGTGCATTAAGTAAAGAGTATAACTGGAAATAAGAAAAAACTCACAGTTGACTGCAGATGTTTGGGTTTGTTTACTGGCTGAACTGTTCTCCTCCGGTTGCTGTCCGGTGTTTGAAGGCAGCCACTGGGACCCTCGTCCTAACACAGCAGAACGATGTTAAGGAAAGAGAAGTGAAGTGGGGTCAACATCAAGACCTGCTCTTTCTATTCCTGACATTGTTTTGTTTATAGTTTAATGAAGACTTGATTTTGAAACGTACAATCTGGAGTTTCTGGAGTTCGTTCAGGGCCTGCTTGTTTCCTGGTTCAAGTTTCAACAACTCCTGAAAATCTGCAATTGAAACACCAAGCAAACACACACACACACACAGAAATAATATGTTTAATGTAACCACACAATGAATAACTGATGACACAAGTAATCCTCATAAATGTTAATTCTGGTAATATCTTACTTATAATGATATGATTAAGACACATGTATAAACCACAAAGGATTTAGAGACAGATTATATCAACGCATCAGGTGACAACATTTTGGTCTTCAACAAGTAAAAACATAGAAAGCATGTATGACTGATGTAAATGAGCTCTAAGCTGACTCCGGGACAACACATCAAATGGAAACATTTATCTTTAATATTGTACATGGTCCCTTTACAAACACAAAAAAGTACTAGCTGACTTTGTGTTTCTTTTTTGTTCGGTACCTTGCTTGGCCTCCTGTAGTTTTCCTAAAGCCACTCTTGCTGTGCCACGGCGGGCGAAAGCCTTGCAGTAGGTGCTGTCCAGAGAAATGGCTTTAGTGCAATCCTCCTCTGCCTCCTTAAACCTGCAGCAAACAGAAGGTATACAATTCAATTCTACAATTCACTTAGCAGACGCTTTTATCCAAAGCGACAGTATATGTTTATTACCTCTTTTTTATGAAGGTGCACAAATAGTGCATTAACCACTTGCTTATTAGCATGTTTAATATGAAGCATATTGCGCCTTTTTTGGCCCCTTACAGGCTAATTTTTGTTTTGTTATTAAGGCACCTTCCAAAAACACATCATATTCATCATATCATCAGAAGTCTTCCTTTCTTACTATAAGCTGTTATTTTCATGTTATTGAGGATACAGTCTTTGTTAATGGCTCAGAGGGTGTAGATTAGTCTTGCAGAATAAATGCACTAAGTATTGCTTTGTAAACACGTTTAAGAGACAACAGGGGCCTAACATGCATGTTATTGTAAATGTGTCATTAAAGGCAGGGTTGGTAATTTCCTGCAGATTCACTTTTTAAGATTTTGATTGAACTTGTCTTTAGGTCCTGACAGAAATTAATAATTAATGAGCTCTGAAAAAGGAACAAAGAGAATCTGTCATCTGTAGCAGTTGTAAGCCTGTAAAAACTTCAACCAATGTCTGCCACGAGGTACCAATCTGATGAACCAATCACAGCCTCCCTGTCTCCCTGCTCGCTCTCTACCCATTGCGTGCACTAGCTCACACTCAAAGCACGAGCTGAGGTCGCTTCTGGACCAATGCGTGTAAGTGAGGGGGCGTGGCTGTAGAGGGAGCACAGAGGGGAGGGGGTGGGTGTAGACGGAGCAATGACCGAACGCTATTTTCTAAATCATGCTAGTTTTCGAAAAATGTCCAACCCTGCCCTAAATACACTATCCACTATAGTGCCTTCTTTTTACTGGTAATGAAGAATTTTCAGGGGAAATGAGTGTTGTGCTCACTTCTCCAGCTTGAGAAAGGCCATGGCTCTGTTGGCGGGCAGTAAGACGTTCATGCTGTCCGCCTCCATGCCCCTCGTGTAGCATTCAACAGCTGCTTCATACTTCCCCTCTTTGAAATAGGCGTTCCCCTGAAAGGTACGTCAGAAAACATCATGACTTAACAAACATATTTCATCCATATTCACCAGCTGCAACACATCAGGAAAGCTCACTCTGTCTTTTTGCATAACTGCCTCCTGTCGTCTCTGCTGCTCTTCTACCAGTCTCTGCCGCTCAGGGTCCTCGGCGGGGGTCACTTCTGGCTGCGTTACTTCACTCCCGGCGGAAGGCACATGATCTCCAAGGGCCTGAAACCAGCCAGGAAAAAATGAATTTATATAAGAAAGAAAGAAGACGCCTGGAATAGTCTCGCAAAAACAAAATCTTCTACACACACCTCTTTGATTTTTTTGACTTCATTCTGTGCTTCCAGGTTCCCGGGGTCAAGCTTGAGAACCATCTCATAATCTATTAAGAAAGAGACGCACGATATTATCTCAGACTGCTCCAGTAAAACAGCTCATCCTCTCTTAACAACAGACGGTCACCTTCTAACGCAGATTCACATTTCTTCAGCGCAAACCGTGCTGCTCCTCTCCGTGCATACGCTTTGAAATAATTGCTGTCCAGAGCAATCGCTAAATTACAGTCAGACTCTGCCACAGCATACCTGCAGTGGGGGAAAAAAACGATTTTACCAACGCAGTCAGGCTGCATACCTTTCCATGTTGTTAAAATGCTGAAACCATACTTTTTGAGTCTGAAGAAGGAGGTGGCTCTGTTTGTTGGAAGTACTGGACTGTAAGGATCTGCACCCATCCCTCTGGTGTAACACTCGATGGCGTCGTCGTACTTCCCCTCTTTGAAAAACGTGTTCCCCTGAAAATGGAAGAACAATCCGCTTTCAGAAAGAGCGTCATTTCAGTTTTATCTTGTACTACTTTTCATACAATAATGACCTTTTCTTTCTCAGCCAGCGCGGCCTCCTTATCAGCTGCAGCTTCCTCAGAGTCCGACTCGTTTGACTCTGCAGGGCTTTCCTCCTTATCCATCTCTGACAGAGCTTTGTCCTGCCATCACAGAAGTCAAATCTTTAGTCATCACTTCACTAATGAGGTTTATTATATTTCATAGGAATGACTTTAGCTACCGCGTCAAACTTGTCCCATGACCGGTAGTCGTATGCTTTTATCCTTGAAGCCTGCTTCGACTCATCCTCCTTGGCGTCACCTTGACCTGTTTGCTCCCCCTCCTCCTCCTCCTTCTTCTTCTTCTTCTTCTCCCTCATCTTTGTTTTGTAGTCTTTGTTGCGCACGGGTGGAAGATTCTTCAACAGAACAGAGTCAACAGGCTTTACATCGCGTTGTGCACGCTCATGTGATTAATGTCTACATCCGGGAAACCAACCTGTGCCTCCTGAGGTCCCCCCTTCCTCAGCTCCTCGTCCCTCTTCTTGATGTCTGTCTCCCAGCCCTCCAGCTCCTTCATGAAGCTGTGCATGTCCTCCGCGTTCTGCCGCATCTGAAGCTGCAACTCAATGGCTTTGTGTCCCACGGACATGTTGCCCCCCTGTGAAACAGACATTTGTTTTGGACAACCTCTTAACACAGCTCGTGAAGTTGCTGTCTTGAAGTCGGCGTTGAAACCAAGTGGAGAACACGAGCTCTGTCATGCTTTTCACTGCTAGCAGCTAGCGAGCTAACAAGCAGAAATACCAAACATTAAAAGAACATGTAAGTGACTATGTCGCTACCTGAACCTCGTTAATACCTGGCACTTCTTTCTCCCACTGTTCACGACAGTTAAAATGTAGCTGCAGTCAATTAGGCTCAATACTACCACAGAAACTATCGTCACTCAGGTGTTTCTGTTTACGTTCGGAGCCATGACAGCCGAGTCCCGTCAGCCCTTGCGCAATGCGCCGCCCTAGCCTACAGTGGGCGGAGCTAAGATCGTCTATTTGAAACAGTTTCCCACTCCGAAGAAAATTCATACTTGAACATTTTGAACACAGTCGACTCAAAAAAGAAGTTACAGAAGATTACACACGACTTGATTATAGCCATATAAGATCTGCCTCCGAACTTAAATACTAGTATGTGGTACAGCCTATGAATTTGTAGGCTTTGACCAAACAAACGTGTTCTCAGAAACACAATATCCACATGAAAAATGACCCACTGAGCCCATTTGCTTAGCCGAGTGGAAAGTATTAGTTTTCTACGGCCCTTAATATTTACAGCCTATGGTGCCGTCACGTTAAAGACGAACCAGTCAACTAGTGTAATAAAAGTTATATGTTTAATACGCTGGCTTTTGTTTTGTTCCGCACATTGCTCTAGGAGTGGACTACTTACCTGACACTTTGAATAAACGATCTACAAAGTAGTCGCCAACAAAGCCGCATTAAAAAGGTAATTTTTATTATTTATTAAATAATCATTTATTTAAACCCATTAAACGTATTTTACATGTAGTACTACTCTTTTTTTCTTTTTTTTTTTTACAATATATCTTTTAGTTATATGAAAAAAAAAATAACACTTCTTACCTTTGACCTTTCGGTACCACGTGATCTAGAAAACAGTGATGACCTCCTTTGGCAGCTAGCGGCAGCTAACCGGGAGAATTACTGCTCACATTTCTGAATATAGTTGACTTGACTTCACACTATGGATCAGACAAAACAAGAGGAGGACTATGGATACGACTTATTCCCGGAGAGGACGAAGTCAAAGTACGCGAAGGGATCAATCGCAGAGAGTCTGTTCACTTTCAACAACAAGTGTCAGGTCATGTTGCACTTTGCGATGGAAACCAGTAAGTGTGTAAATGAATGACATGTCAGCAGCGACAGGATGATATATTTACTGTCAGACAGGATTTTGATTCTAATAACCGTGCAGTGTTGTAGTTATCACCTCAGATTAGCAGCATGTAGCATTAGCTGAATTAGCTGTCAGTGAATGTAAACCAGTGTTTACTGCTGTTTGTGTTTCTCTCAGGTCCTTATGCCAAACTTCTCCTGAGTGCCATGAAGAGTTCAGGATGGTAGGTTTCATCCATCCATCCATCAATTCAGTGATAGTTCTGCCATTGTCTTTCTTGTAATTATCTGTAAAGTGCTTTTGTTGCTATCAATCCTAATGTGAAGTTATGTGGCGTTTTATCATTTTCAGCAAGTCCAAAAAAAAAAAAAAGTGTCTTGTTGTAAATCCACTCCAGTCCTGTATCAGCCATAATATTGTTACAAGCTCATTTTTTACATTAAAAAAAAAAAAAAGTATTCTTACAGCAAAAGAACACGATCATATGTTTTTACTGTCTCCTCTCAACACAGCCAGGTGTTCAAAGACCGACACTTCTCCTGTGAAGACTGCGACGGGACGGTCAGCGGGGGCTTCGACGCAGCGTCCTCTCAAGTAAGGAAGACGTCTTATCTGGCAGCTCTACAGATAACACCAGGGTCTGACACGTCACAGATAACACCAATGTTCAACAATAACAGAATAGAATAGAAAATAATTGTCTGCGGTTGCATGCAAACGCAGAAATCTGTCTTTGATATAACTCAAGATGTGTGTTTGTTTGTAGATTGTTTTGTGTCAGAACAACATCCACCAGCAGTCCCACATGACCCGGGTGGTCACGCACGAGCTCATTCACGCCTTTGACCATTGTCGGGCCAATGTGGACTGGTTCAACAACTACAGACACCTGGCTTGTTCTGAGGTAAGCCCCAGTGTGTTCAGCACTAGCTACTTTTATGTTGCAATGGTTACTATGGTTACTGTGTGATCCTCTTTCATCTGAGACTGAGGACATAAGTTCCAGAAAATATCAGGACACTCTTAGGGCTTTCACACTTTCAGACAACTCCTGAAAATCTCCTGATAGTTACCGGAGGACGAGCTGTATGTGTGAACGCAAACAGTTTCTACTTGTATTTTTTCTGCAGAAAGTCTGAGTGAGCTGATGCGAGAACGCAGCAGGAGGTAGGACACGATGTAAAAAGGACGCTGTGTTGTAATAAAGGATTTTCCAAGATGGGGGGGGCGAAGAGTCTGACGCTATAATGACAGTTTTTTTACTTTCTATCAGCTGTGTGTCGGGGCTTAAGTATCAACTAAAGAGTATGACCTTTACCTTTACCTTTGTGTGCTGCGTTCACACATCAGCTCACCCTGACCTCACATGGAAATTATAGCAGTGGGCCTGGCAGGAAAAAGTCAAAAGTCATGGTGAACACGGGGTTCAAATGTGTTCACACATGCAGCTTAGAGTTTAGTGAATGTGAGAATTCAGGATTTTTGACTCTCCGGCCTAAGCTTATTCAAATCTTCAAAGACGATCGTCACAAAAATGCGCTTCAAAAATATATTTGGACTAGTTTCCTCAAACAGCTGGCAACATTAGTTTTAACTGCGGCTATTTATTTGTTGCTATTTTAGGCCCCTTGTCTAACTAGGGCGCCTGCGTCTTTCTCACATTGTATCAGCAGAGAGCGTTAACAGCAGCAGGCGGCCGCCCGGAGAAAAATCGCAGCGTCCAGCGTCTTTTTTCCTTATTTGTGCGGCCTCTCCGAGCGCTCAAGTTGAAAATCTTTCAACCTTTCAGAAAGGCGCTGCTGACATCACAGACGCTCTTTTCCTAATGTAGGATATGCCCCGTAGTTTTGCCGCCAACGGATCGCATCCTCTTTGCTCCGTATCTGATCAATCTCAAACTAAAAAAAAAAGCAGTGTCGGTCATCCAGCAGCCATTGTCAGCAGACGGACGTGCAGCGCTTTTATTCTCAGCTCTCAAACGCTTCCTGCATGCCCTCCCGAGTGAACAGCCGGCGCTTTTCTGCCCACAAGAAACCGCGAGGTGGACACAGAGCGTTACTGCCCTTTTTGTGACTATTTTCAGCAGTGATTTAATATTCACTTCTTCATCTATGTGTCCTCATGAACAGGAAGTCAGGATTTAATCACGACCTGAGAAATTGGCTCTCTGCTTGGTTCTTTTGAGTCTCACTCATCCACATCATATTTGACTGCTTTTGTTGAGCTTACAAAATGTTCCACTACCCTGTTATTCCACTTTAATGGTTTTCTTGATCTTGCTGATATTTAAAATACCTTTTTTTTTCATGTCATTGCTTCAGATTCGGGCAGCTAACCTCAGCGGAGATTGCACGTTCAACAATGAACTTGCCAGATTTAACTTTGGCATGAAGCAGCATCATCAGGTACCCAGAGTTCCATGAATACACATTTTATTGGCTAACCCTTTTTTTCCCCTCTAATAAGGTTTTTTTTTCCCTCCCCCTTGACAGGAGTGCGTCCGAGGCCGAGCCCTCCGCTCCATCCTCGCCGTGAGGAACATCAGCAGAAAGGAGGCGGAGAAAATCGTGGACGACGTCTTCGACACCTGTTTCAACGATCACGCGCCGTTTGGACGCATCCCTCACACCAAGAAGGACGCCGGCTTCGCCTACAGAGATTACCAGAACAGAGATCGATATTATGCCAACCTCTAGTGTCCTCTCCTTCAGATGAAACTCCCAAGGGTGCCGTGACCTGGGCTGGGCAGCGTCGGGGCCTCGGTCAGCAGAAACGCTTGAGGATAAAAAAGATCAAATCCCAGCGAGCGCTTTGTCCTTGGAGACAGAAAAGATGAGCTCGAGTACATTTCAGTTTCTACCCTTTGGACTCTTAAAGTGAAGCACTTAATGAGGCCCTGTGATTTATTTTGACTGTTATTTTAAAGTGATCTAAAGGTGCTTTTAAGGGAAACACCAGGATTTCCTTTGATCGTCGTCTCTTCATGTTGTTGCCACAATGACCTCCGCTGATTTCTTGTAAATAGAGATGATTGTGCTTAAATTAAACTGACGTATCTTCTCTTTGAATTAAAGTTTGATTCCTCCAAAAAAAAAAAAAAACAGTGTACAGTTAGTTTTTTTTCTCTGAGGACAAGACGAGGGTTATTACTTTCAACCTTGGCACAAAATGTTTGAATGAACGACTTACCAAAAGACACATCAGGAAGCTTATTGCTTATTAGAACTCGTTTGTGTTTAATCCAGAGAGAGGATCCTGCAGATGAACATATGAGACGAGTAATGCCAACAAAGTGAGAAAAGTTCTCGCACAGAAGCACCGCTCACATCCGTGCCGTCACTGTGAAATGTCACCGCTGACATCTTCATTGGACATTAGCATTTAAAGTATCTCGTATCCCTCCGCAGAGATTAATGAGGGGAAAAAAGTTTTTAGGGAATTAGCCTCATAATCCCCCCCTCCTCCTCCTCCTCCTCCTCCTCCTCCTCGTCTGCCTATCTCAAAGACAACACTCTCTGCATGGTAATTACAAAGTCATAATTACTAATGGAGTATATTATGACGCTTATCCAAACATTCCCTTCTTGGAAAACACAAAAAAAAAAAAAACACATGATGAGAAAGAGCTCAAGCAACAAGGCAAGCGGATTGAGCAAAGACCGTGGGGTTAATTGTGGGAGCTTAGCAGAGGGAATGATGAAAACAGCTTTGAGGCAGCAGGATTGATGTAAGACAAAAGGAGGGAGTGATATTTGGATTTGTTGCAATGTCACACCACCCGAGTGGGATGAATGAATAAATCATGCAAAACAACAGAATTACAGCTGGAGATGTGCACAATATCAAATAACGAGACAATAAATACATTTGGTACAATTAGACATGAAGAATGAGGCTGTGGATTTAATGAATTGTCTTTTGTGTGCTCTTGTTTGGAGGATTGGAGTAATACTGAGGTTGTAACGGTGCGTTCATGTGGTGTCGGACGCATCGGAAAATGAGTTTCTGGGTTGTAAAATGCAAATGAACACCTGCTCAACTCGGAAAAGAATAAGGTGCCCATCGTCATCAAATGAGGTGCAACACATGTTTTTTTTAATGTTTACATAGGCTACTTTAATTCACGTATTGCACATCAACTTTTTGCTCAAATCTAACTTTTAACAGTTTAATTTCGCTGATCTTCTTTGTGGCATCAGCGCTGGTTTGTGCTGCTGTTACAACATTCCGAGCAGCACGTTAATGCAACATAAAGGGTTCTTAAACTTTGCCATGCCAAGTACAAAGGTTATATTAGTTAAGTTTTTTTTCATTGTTTTTATTTTCAAATTCAGTTTAGTTTGAATTATTTTTTAAAGGTCAAATATTACCTACTTGAACAAGTTTCAACAAGTATTTTGTTCGTTTTTATTTAACAATAATTACCCTGCCAAGGATATATCTTTGTATATTTGCCTTGTACATTATCATGGCAAATATACAAAGGAAGAATATGCGAGCCGTATCTACAGCGTGTTAACATCGCCGGGACGGCTGACCGGCTCATCCCCTCGCGTATAAACGTTGTTTAATTGAAGGACTAGAGAAAAGAAGAATAACATACTGTACTCACTGCTTATTTGAATGTCACATAAGCGTTTTTAGATCACAGTCATTTCATGTAAATTGACATGCTGTGTGAAGATACGAGCAAAATAAAGAGCGCTAGCATATAGTAAAACATTTTTGAATATGTAGTGATTTTTGTCCAACAAGCAGCATGTGCTTTTTTACTGAAAGGAGAAAACACATTATTATTATTTAATGGTAAGTTAAGGTAACTATAATGTCATGTCGAATAATATTTCTCTGCACACATCTATTCCACAATATTTCAAAATGCACAAATACTTCATTCTCAAACCATTCATCAACTTCATTCCTGATTGATTTGAGACTGCAGTACCATCTCACTCCTCCAGGTGGCATGTTTTGACCAGTAATGCTCACCAGAACAAGTCAGTCCAAAGGGAACTTAAAAAGGAAGTGCTGCTACTTTTTTTTTTTTTATTGATACATATAATTGAATTAATTTTATTGAGTCCTGCTCCAGGTGACTGTGGGGCCTTTTATGAGCAGAGATAGGGCGCCGTAATGAAGTCCCAGCTGTGAAAGAGTGACGACTTTCATTATTCCATCCGTTCTAGCAGGCAGTGCCCACTGTGAACTAATTAAGATGCTCAAGCAACACTGAATATCCCTTCACTAATCTGCTGGAGGACAACACATTAACCCAGAGAGCTCTAATGAACTCATCTCATTAATTAGAATAATGGCAGATTTAGTTGTGGCGTAAAGAGGCGAGGAAGAGCGAGGACACACACGAGCCTTTGTGAAGTTTTAAAGTCTCTGCTCTTCACGGGCAGCGCTGATGATAATAAGAGGACTCTGAATTATTCAGCGTTGAATTTTAGAAGTACTGACATACAGTTATTTCTTCATGAGGAACACAGTGCATGTTTCTGTACTATAGCCTACATCTTCTCGGGAAGAAGTGTAGCCAGATTAGGCATTAGGGGTGTTTGACTCGTATTTGCCTCTTAATGTCTTGGATGACTTTGAAATGAACGTGACTGAGAAAAAAAAGCCGGTCGACATGGCATCCTTCGACCAACATGGTCATTTTCCCGTCCCATCTTCAGCACTCTGGGGAGACTTTTGAACAAAGAAAATATATAGAGTACAGCCGCCTGAGGAGAACAATCACATACAGCTGATTGAGGACGAGAGTGCATAATAAAGATGGCTGCCTTGAACCTTCTTTTCTTAGCCAATGTCATATCTGAGCTAAGATATGTTAGGAAGAAAATCCAGAAAGAAGAATAAATATGACACCATAAACAAGTAGTGCAAGCAGAATAAGCTGCAAAGATGTAACCAGTAGAAGAAGACAGATGAGCTATTTCAACACTACTATTTGTACTCGTAGATGGCGTGTTGGTTCAGATATTTGAATTAAATGTATATTTTGACACCTTGGGTTATTATGATGTCATGTAGATCAGCCAGCTGACTGAGCATAGATAGCGTGAAACAGCTAGCATCCATTCCCACTAAGCGGCAAACTCAGGTCTTCAAAAATGAGGCCAATGCTTAAGCTTACAAATCTGCATTTCCCCATCAGGTCACATGTTGAAATAAACAAATTGACAGCTGTGAACTTAATGGGTATTCACTTTTGAGCACATTTTTATGCTAAACTAAGCTAACTGCTAATGGTGGATACATATTTAGCATAGAAAATAAAGTGGTGTATTTCCTTATGCTACTGGCACTAATTCAGTGTCTTGCTCAGCCACTATTCAAGACACTTCAAGATAGTGTAGGAGCTGTGGATTGAACCCCCAATGTTCTGGTTGAGAGATGACAGACTCTACCACTGAGTCAAAGCTGGCACTGGCAAAGGTTATATTTAAATTGTAGATACTTTATTTATGGATTTTCCCAGTTCTACTTTTTCATTTGAATCCATAGAAAACAAATGAGTATCTATTCCTGCCAATAGCTCTTATGTATGTAAGTACTACAGAATTAAATACAATACAAGAAGTAGTGTACAGGCAACACTGATGGGGGAAAAGTAGAAATAGAGTAGAAATCATTATAATTCACAGCGCAAACCTCTGGAGGCAAACCGTCTAACCTGACAATTAACTCCCCCAGCAGGGAGGCACAGTTTGAAACAGCTCTGGGGGGGTGAGGGTGGGCATGTATTTTAATTAATTATGTGTGCAAGTTGAAGATTAATTAAGAAGGTGTGTAAAGCTTGAGGAGAATAGTTTTGTGTTACTGCAATTTCTTTTTTGTAATTTGAACCAAACTTTCGAGCGTGACTTTTCCCCGGGAAGGTCATCATCTGTTACCTGATGGTTAGTCGACCGAAAACACAACAAAACATATTCTCACTTTGAACACTTGTTCTTGGGACAAAATTGTTTTCATTCTCTCGAATGTCTAAAAACAGTGACCGCTTCTGGACAGTTCATTCATTTATTAAATCTCACTGGTAGATATGTTTTTTTCCCTGGACAATTCAAAGCATGGTTAGATTAGACCTGGGACAACTGTGGGTTTATTTTCTGTAAAAAATTACAGCATTTTCTTCAACTTCAGGAAAAAAACTTCTTGAAGTTGTGGGATAAAGACACAGCTTTGGAAATAAGCCTCTAATTGGCAAGAAACCTAAAATTTAAAGGATGCACAGCTCTCACAAGTGCCAAATTCTAGACTCAATAAATCTGAAGACTGAATTCCTAGATCTATGATGTCTATGATCTTCCACCTGGAGGAGTTCATTTATAATATATTTAATTTATCAGTGCTCCTAAACACATTTTTAATAATGCACTACTAAAAAGATCAAGAACATTTCAGACAGGATGCCCCTGAAATCGTCCTGAGTTGGTTATTGGTTGACATGTCCCCCTCAGCGGAAGACTATCCTTGTTATCCAGGACAAATGGCAGAACAAAATCCACCGAGTCCAACTCTATGATTACTTTTTTTGTAAACATAATTAAGCAATTTCAATAATCTCATGGAGATCGCATCGTTTGCGGGCTATACTGTCTACAGTTGTGTGCCAGCAGCAGAATGTGATTTAAACTAAACTTTGCTGAATATTTTCTGCTGCATTCCCACCCTCGACTCACTCAGACTTTATGTGGAAAACGTACTTGGGATTCTAGAAATTCTGGATAAAATTGGAATGAAAAAATAAATTGGCTGTTTGCATTCACAAAGATACAAGACAGGAAGAGAAAGCACCATAGTTGTGAATCCAAGAGCACTGCCTTACATTACATAATTTGAAGTCAGAATCTGTTATGAAGTAAAATTTAGCATAGAAAGAGTTTAATAATGTACGACCAACACTCCACCTCTCTCCCTTTGCAAACAGCTCGAGAGAAAGCTATGACATGCTGAGGTACTACCTTTGATCACGGAGGCCCCAGAATACAAATGTGATGTGACGACTGAGGGATTAAACCTTTTTATCCCCCATGTTAGAGTTCAGAGAAGAATCTAA